ATGATAGTATAGAAAAGAGTTGCTATCATGTGAAGATATAATGGAGAAAATAAATAAGTTTCAGAAAACAGTAAAAGATTCAGCTCACTAACCAAGGGGAATCCATTGCATGATTCACCGGTATGCCCTCGCCAGCAATACTCTTCCGATTCCATTGCTAACGCTAATTAAAATCGTAAATTATATTAAATCTGGAGCCCTAAACAACCGTCTGTTTATAGAGCTGTGCAAAGATATGTATAAAGATCACGAGGTTATGCTTTTCTACATTACAGTACGCTGGCTGTTAAAAGTAAATTGTGAATTGACAGATGAAATCAAGTTGTTCTTGGAAGTGAAAGGTAAACAAGACTTTTTGACATACTTTATTGAACAGATATATTCAAACATCAACGTAAGCAACCTGGAGCTTCATGGAAAATAAACGAGTATTATCTCTTGTCATGATTATCAAAGATGCAAAATTGGCGAAGAAAAATAAATCTTGGAAATATTGCCATGTTTGTGGAGTATGATTGTGAGGTAAATACAAATTTGAAAAAGCAGATTGCTGGGCATCTTGAATCTCTTGGCATCGAACTGCGGCGTTATCCCTGAGCTGAAAGAAGAAGAATCTGCATGGACACATTACCCGCACTCTGCTTCCCTTGATGTTGCGACCATTCCCAATGAATTACAAGATGGATTCTTAAATGTGCGGAAAGATTTCGCGTCATATGAAAAACTGCTCACACAATTTTGGTGTAGTATGCACTATTCATATCCAAACGTGAAATTGATTGCCTTTTGAGTTTTTGTTCCTTTTGTCTCTACATATCTTTGCGAGGATAGATTTTCAACACTTCTCCAATTAAAAACAAACTAACGAAATAAATTAAATGTTAAGAATTACTTGAGGTTGGCGTTAACAAAACCTCAAGCGCGAGTGTCGAGGCTATTTTATACAATGAAGTTTTTCATCGCTTATAGTAGAGTGATCGCTTGCATTATTGTGATGTATAGCATTTATTTTCTACTTTTTAGTTCAATCAGAAAACGTGGGTTTTTTAAAACTTTTTTAATGATAATTATTAATTCTATGGGGGTCGCGGGTCACTTAAATTTCATAAAAGGGCTCGCCACTAGAAAAAAGTTTGGGAACCACTGATTTAGAGTGTATGCTAGTACAGAAAGCAAAGCAAATACCAGCAAAAAAATTGAAGCCTCTGATTTATTCGAGTACCAGACGGAAAACAAAAAATACCATGTGTCCACAAGCACTCAAGTAAATAAAAATAAGCCGGGAGAGATCTTCCTAAACTTTCTACAATATTCGTATTATAACACTACGGACGATGGCAACTTGGAATATTGACAGGATTTTAAATCCCTTTTTAATTATTTAAACTTTTAAAAATGCAAAACAGCAAGTGAACAGAAAAAAATGTGTACACTAGTGCTGAATATTATTAGTACTTTATAAATTCATTTGCGTTTTTTTGAAAATCGGAAATAGCGTAAATTATTACTCCCGGTCAACGGATATTACCCAAAATTTGACAGAGGTCAGATAATTAGAGATTTTACTTAATTGTGAAATTTCATTTATCAATCTGAAACAGTACTCAAATTATAAGCGTTTGAAAAACTAAAAGTAGAATAAGTACCACTTCCGGTTATCGGAAAATTTGAAACAGAAATACAAAATTGATATAATACTTTTATATGAAACATTTCATCAACCGATCTGTATCGGTACTCAAGTTATCGCGTTGACAGACAAATACACATACAGACACTCATACATACTTATACACAGACATACGGACAGAATTGTAAAACTATATTTTTCCGACTTTTTTGCATGATTACAATACTTCCTCTATACTTCGTATACGAAAGTAGAAATTAGAGCGAAACTTTGTTTTCCATTTAAAATAAATACTAAGTAAGAGCTTACATAGAAATTCTTCTAAGTTTTGGGTTAATAATTTAATTTCTAGATTATCTCTTCTGCTTAGGAACTTGACCAGCAAAGTTTGAAGATGTTTGCACTGTGAGTTGCAAAAGTTCACAGAGACACTTCATTATAGGATACCTTATCTACACTATAGACGGCTATAATTATAGTGTTTTTGAATTGGTAGCTGCATATGAATTAAATCGTAAGAGGGAAGCTAAATCCGGAGTTTATGTTCTTGAAAAAGTTAACCGGTACCTGATATGGGTTTCTTTCTAGAAACTTTTTTTTTTGCAATTTAAAACAAATCGACGTGTTGACAGATCCACAGTCAATGTAGACAGGGCAAAAATCAAGTGAGGAAGTTCTGGTTTAAAGCCTAACTCTAAACTGTTGTGATGTGTTCGGCTGGACATACATTGAGCTACTCACGCTTAATTTACTAAAAACAGAAGTTGCGTTTTAGATTTTATCTGGTCAAACCTCAAGGGGTATGTGTTCAATCCAGTATTGACAAAAAAAGTAAACTTTCCCAGGAAGAAATCAGAAATTTTCATCTAGCTTTCAGGAAACAATTTCAAATTTAATTGAATAATGCGAATTAAAACTTATAGCTAAAATAAAACGTTACTTATGTTTTCAGTATTTTAGACAAATGTCACTCAAAATTTGAAAGTAATACTTATATGCAATATTTCATCTACCTAACTGAAACAGCACTCAAGTTGTCGCGCTCACACGAACAAAGAGTAAATCACCACGATCTTTCCCGAAAATCTTTTAAATTTGATAGAATCATGTAAACACAATCGAATACTTGTATTTGAAATGTTGTCCACCTAACTTAAACGGTACTCAAATTATTGGCTTTTGAGAAACCGGAAGTAGAGTAAGTAACACTTCCAAATATTGAAAATCGCCCAAAAGGTTAAAGTAAACTTCAAATTTGATATAATATTTGGATATGAAATGTAATCAAATTAAGTGAAACGGTACTCGTTATAGTGTTTATGCATACACACGCACACATACACACACCCACACACACACACACACACAAACACCCAGACACACCCACCCACACCCCCACCCACACCCACACCCCCAACCACCCAACACCCACACCCCCACACATCAACACACATATCCCGCATTCGATAAAGTAGGGACGTGTAAAACGGTGAAAACTGTCACAATATCATTTAGTTTATGTGCACGATTACAATACCTACTCAATACTTTGTATACGAGAAAGTAATGAAATGAAGCTTCTATTAGACGTGCAAAAGTTCCATGACGTTTTGGTATATTTAAAAAAAAACAATGCGTGGATGATAGCAGTGGTATATCTAGTAGCTGTTATAACGCAGAAAAAAATACCTTAAATTCCTGAAACGTTAGAGGAAAAAAAGAGGTTGGGAGGGGGGGGGGTTGTTGAGAAAAGTACCATTGTTTGGTAAAACTGTACATTGTGGTATATAATCTGAACGTGCAAATAATTAATTTATGAAATGGAAAACAAACTCCATCGTTAGTTCCCCGAGTTGACAGAAAAAAAGAACCATAACAGACTATATTTGATACAAAATCTATTGACTGCTGTCATTGATATAGACAGCTTTCTCAATGAATAATAAGACAAGATTTTCAACTGTACTTTGTTAAAAAAAACACCACCAAATAAATGACATATTTAGAATGACATGAGGTTGGCGTTTATAAGCCACCATCGAAATTTTAAGAATTAAAATTATACTATTTATAGTAAATAAAAAAAAATAAAACAATACTAAACACACAATTTTTTGGATCAGTTTTTCCTACATAAAAAATAATAATAAAAATTATAATAAAAACAATAACAACAACAACAACAACAATAATAATAATAATAATAAAAATAAAAATAAAAATAAAAATAAAAATAAAAATAAAAATAAAAATAAAAATAAAAATAAAAATAAAAATAAAAATAAAAATAAAAATAAAAATAAAAATAAAAATAATAATAATAATAATAATAATAATAATAATAATAATAATAATAATAATAATAATAATAATCTATATATATATAATTCTCTTCTGGGAGCCTTTAGAAAACAAGCTGCAAGCGCCCCTTACAGTCCCCTCTCTTCCTCTCTATCGCTACCGCCCCCACCCCCCCCCCCCCCCAACCCTCTCACATGGTCAGGTGAGTTGTAGTTCACGCTGTTTACATTTTACAATCATAGAGACGGGTTTGGTGACGGCTATTAGGGGCAGATAATTTAGTTTGAAACGATTTTAAACTTAGAGGAGGTAACTAAGAGGAGGCTGCTTTCACGTGGGGGGGGGAGGGGAGGGGAGTTTAGTGTTTTTAAGGAAATATTTTCAGTGGCAGCATTGGTACTGTCGAATTCACAAATTATGAATTACTGAAAAGTAGAAAATACAACTAAATAGCGGCGTATGATACGTCGCGGGTCGGCTCGTAATAATAATAATAATAATAATAATAATAATAATAATAATAATAATAATAATAATAATAACAATAATAATAATAATAATAATAATAATAATAATAATAATAATAATAATAATAATAATAATAATAATAATAATAATAATAATAATGTTTTGTACAGTATAATTAAGGACATAAAAAAGAATATGATTTTTATGTTGAACTTGGATAAAGAAACACAGTAATTGTAATAACAACACAAATAAATTAAAAACTACAGATTCACTTCATATGAATTTTTTTATCAAGGTCATTTCTTATTACTAACAGTGTTAGCAACCACTTACTGCTTTTAAATGTTGATATCTAAAATAAGAATTCAATTAAAAGCGAAATCGACAATCATTATTTCACACGTTGCTTAAAGTTAAAAATACGTGCAAATCAAGTACGTGGCATTATATTGATTAATTCCAAATTAATATAAATTTATTCCTACTTTATGCAAATAACAAATAGCGAAAGCATGTTTTTACTAAGCATCTAACACTAAAGGTATTTAGAAAAACCGAAGATCAAGTTAATTAACCTATTTTCAAAACGTGTACACAATTATCTAAACTCAAGCATGCTACGAAAGGCATCTATATTTTCTTGGACCTTTGTATTTTAAAAATTTAATACTAAAATTCTCAAAAATCAGAACAATTAAACTTATTTTAGGTTCATTTTTAACATAGTATCAACTACACATTCCGCATCATTTAATATCGTTTGATAATTATCATTGCTTAAAAAATAGAGCTAATTATTATCTGATAAATTGTAAAATTTCATTAAAGAAGGCAACTTAAAAAAATAGAATGTTCTGACTCACGAACCAAGGATTGGAAAGAAGAAAAGTACTTTTTATCAAATGTTTGCTTAATATCTTGGAAGTTCAGTAACATTTCCAAGACTTCGGTAGTTTTTGGTCCCGTAAGATGTGCCTTTTCTGTTTCTTTGATCATCTCTTCTACGCATAATCGCGCCTGTTTAAGATTAGTAATCAAAATATTTGGTGATTCTCCATCAGCAGCAGATTTGGATAAAGAAGACTCGAAGTTGATGATTTCATCGAAAAGCATTTGTAAATAAATAATGTTCTCATTAGTAGTCATAGTCTCAGCTTTAGAAATTTTATCTAGGATACAACTCTGTGTGTTTACATCTTCCTTGGTTGTTGTCAACACTTTAGTATCTAACATCTGTTTGTAGAGCATCTGTGCTTTTTCGAAATGTTTATTTGTGTATCTTTTGTTGTTAGTGTTTAAGTTGACCACCATGTCGACCAAATTCTGTCTCTGCTCTTGTTTTGTTTTATCATCAGGATTCCGATTATTAAAAACAACAACTCTGCCGTGACATTCATCCAGTAATGATTTAAAAGCTCGTGTTTGACTGTCACAAAATTCTTTCAAACTTTGTCCATTTTTCTCCATTTCTAGACTTAGAATGTCCCCGTGAGTAAAAACTATTATGCCATAGCTGTTTAAAAAATCACTACCCAATATATGTTTCAGAATAAGTATAGACTTTTCATCTTCTTTTGTGAACCGACTCCCTGCTTTCACCACAACAATAAATGCGTGGTAGCCTTCTGGATTAATCAATATGGCAGATTGTAGAGCTACCTTAACCAACATTTCCCCATCTTCTTCATCTAAATCTGTATCAAAAACACCTGGGCAATCAACAACTTGTATTCTATAGTTTAAGAAGTCACAAGCGTCATATTTTGGGAACTTTGTCAGTGAACTAAACGAACAGCTGTCTTTAAATACATTCTCTTTGTCAAGTATAGAGTTACCAGTTGCACTTTTGCCAAGTCCAGTTTTACCAATTAAAATCACATCCAGCCTGAACTAGAAAGGAAAGAAAAATATTCAATTTAATAAATCACATATATACACACTGCTTTGTTTGCATATACTTTAATAAAAATGATATTTAAATTCTAACCCTAAACATAACCCCGATACTTACCTTTACATTATTGTTACATTAACATCAAACTTTTAAATATTTCATTTATATTTTTGAAATAAAAAGTATGAAACGCTCATTTTCACTTACATTATATGTTTAATATCTATTTGTAAAAATATATCTACTTTTAAAAAAAGTATAGGGGGTCGGCGTGGTCGAGTCGATAAAGCTCATGGTTGCTAAACCGAAAAGTCTCGAGTTCGAACCCTCGGGGACAGCCACTCTTCTAGGAGACACAACTCCAAAATCAAACAACTGCTGCCTTGTAGTTTGTTCTTGGTTGGACAAACCAAAAAGAAAAAGCAGGCTGAAATCGGAGTCAATGACCTCAATGGTGCATAACCAGTTGAACGTAATTTTGGTATCGATAAAAATTATTGTCTTAAGATCATCGGAACAACGACCCTGCGACGAGATGCAATATAAACCACACAGATGCACCTTGTATTTTCATGCTTATTAAAGATAGTAGCCTTACCTTGGGCACACCTTTGATTGCTCTAAGCATGATATTACTTTAGATTGCACAAGTACCGATACACGCTATCTCTGACTTTACGATAACATTATTTACTACACTTATTTATAAATATAAATCTTCGCAGTACGTAGCTGGCGCAGTCACACGTTACTATTTTAAACACAGATCCTTATTGGTTATTCTGAAGCAACTGACTTTAAATTGTAGGCCATGTATCTTTCTTATTTGTAAATCGTGGCAGTGGAATTTGTGTAGGAAGGTTGGCGCGTTGGTTCTAAAGCTATTAATCTCAAACACTTAAATCGTATATTTACTTTGTGTTTATAACAATATAATGGTATCTTGCTATCATTTTAAAGCAAATATTAGTTATCATGCTGATATTTATTATATGGCAAACACAAAACAGAAAACTTTAAACAAAAATATTTTTTTCCATAAATTCTTGTTTCTACATTTTCCATTCGTAGTTGCATTTAATAACGACGAACGTTTCTATTAAAGATATGGTTGTACTTTAAATACTGAATAAAAAGTGTTTATGTTATCGTGATAGACTTCAATTCAAACAATGTATGTATGTCTGTGTGTTTGCGTCATAAAACTTTGGTAAGTTCTTGAGAATACTTCTGTGGAGGTACCTGCAAAAAATATTTCAAATTCGCTGGGGTGGCGCTCCGGTAGGGCGCGATTTGATTCCTCTTTATATATGGTTCTTTTTACTTATGAGCGATTTTCGGTAACCTGAAGGAATAAACTACTCCGATTTCTTAAAAAAAACCCACATAACACGATAATTTGGCATCGTATTCTCATAAACCAGTATATAACTTTTCGGCTCTCTGCGTTTTCTCGAAACAAGGGCGGTTTTGTGACAAACTTCTAGATTTCTATAGTTGACATCACTGGATGTGTAACGAGACTCACTTCGCTTTTTGTTAAAAAAAAACTCAATAACTTTTCCAATGTTTTATAAAATTAATTTACAATTTTAAGTAATATTCATAATTTAAAACAATATGTTTTGAATGGTGCTTTTTTATCATGGTATTTAGGTGGCCCCTTTTCGTATCGGATGCTCTTTATTAGCCATATTTAAAATTGTTTCCGAAAACTAGGCACTGTTACTTTATGTCCGATGCATTTCGACAAGTTTATTTTAAACGTGGCCGTATGGTAGTGTGGACAGCTGATGGTTTTAAGCTTTTAAAATTCACCATACATCAACATAGAACCGTAAGGAGATTTACATTGCTTTTGAGAGAGCTTAAAATTTGATTTGATCAAAACTAGGTTTAGAGAAAGATCAATGTTTACAGTACAAATACTTATTTCTGTTTAAGAAGTTTAATTATAATTTGTTCGGTAGGTTAAAATGCAAATTCTCTATAAAAATCCATTTTTAATGCCATTTTTTGTTTCCTGTTACATTTGAGGTCGAGGTGGGGAATTAGTTTTTGATATCGTTTTCGAGAAAAAGACAACATTATCAACATGGCGCCCGTTGTATTGTTTTCTCATCGGGGCATCTATCTAGTTTATTTACATTACGGCCAAAGCCCAAAGTCAGGCAATGCGCACCTTAGCCGGCTAGTTAGTCACTGACCACTATCACCTAGCATTGACCGGCTAAAGACCAATGTCCAAATTAGAAGATCGTAAATAGATTATGCTGACTGTATAATTAGGTCAATATTGATCAACTCATAGTTAATTAAAGTAAATGACATTTCTATTTGTTTCACTAACTCATATCATCTCCTTTTGCTTGGACCCTGTTGGTTAAATTATGTACATTATAAGGGTAGCAGCTTTTATTTAGTTAGCAACGTCTGTTTGTTTGTTTGTTTGTAGTTTGTTTGTGTGATTGTGATAAGTCTTATAACTAAATTTGACCCACTTCTAATTTATCGATTTCGCTGAAACTTTGCATATACGTCCCACTTCGATGACAATACAAGTCTATTTATTTTTTTATTTAAGGGGAGATCTAGTGAAGGCGATTTGGGGCAAGTAATGAAGTTTTAAACGATTTGAAACTAAGGGGAGATAAAAAAAAAAGAACTTGCTGTCTTCTGTAAATTACAGCCACGGACGGCCGCTTTCAACGGGCAGATAATCGTCTTTTAAATATCGCGATCTACCGGTGTTGTTTTAAAGCCAATTTTATAGTCTCTTCGATTTAATAAAATATGAATCACTAAAAAGTTCTCATTCTCATTCTCGTTCTCGTTCTCGTTCTCGTTCTCATTCTCGTTTTCGATCTCGATCTCGTTCTCGTGTTTGTTCTCGTTATCGTTCCTGTTCTCGTTCCCGTTCCCGTTCCCGTTCCCGTTCCCGTTCTCATTCTCATTCTCATTCTCATTCTCATTCTCATTCTCATTCTCATTCTCATTCTCATTCTCATTCTCATTCTCATTCTCATTCTCATTCTCATTCTCATTCTCATTCTCATTCTCATTCTCATTCTCATTCTCATTCTCATTCTCATTCTCATTCTCATTCTCATTCTCATTCTCATTCTCATTCTCATTCTCATTCTCATTCTCATTCTCATTCTCATTCTCATTCTCATTCTCATTCTCATTCTCATTCTCATTCTCATTCTCATTCTCATTCTCATTCTCATTCTCATTCTCATTCTCATTCTCATTCTCATTCTCATTCTCATTCTCATTCTCATTCTCATTCTCATTCTCATTCTCATTCTCATTCTCATTCTCATTCTCATTCTCATTCTCATTCTCATTCTCATTCTCATTCTCATTCTCATTCTCATTCTCATTCTCATTCTCATTCTCATTCTCATTCTCATTCTCATTCTCATTCTCATTCTCATTCTCATTCTCATTCTCATTCTCATTCTCATTCTCATTCTCATTCTCATTCTCATTCTCATTCTCATTCTCATTCTCATTCTCATTCTCATTCTCATTCTCATTCTCATTCTCATTCTCATTCTCATTCTCATTCTCATTCTCATTCTCATTCTCATTCTCATTCTCATTCTCATTCTCATTCTCATTCTCATTCTCATTCTCATTCTCATTCTCATTCTCATTCTCATTCTCATTCTCATTCTCATTCTCATTCTCATTCTCATTCTCATTCTCATTCTCATTCTCATTCTCGTTCTCGTTCTCGTTCTCGTTCTCGTTCTCCTTCTCGTTCTCCTTCTCGTTCTCATTCTCGTTCTCATTCTCATTCTCATTCTCATTCTCATTCTCATTCTCATTCTCATTCTCATTCTCATTCTCATTCTCATTCTCATTCTCATTCTTATTCTCATTCTCATTCTCATTCTCATTCTCGTTCTCATTCTCGTTCTCCTTCTCGTTCTCGTTCTCGTTCTCGTTCTCGTTCTCGTTCTCGTTCTCGTTTTCGATCTCGATCTCGATCTCGTTCTCGTGTTCGTTCTCGTTATCGTTCCTGTTCTCGTTCCCGTTCCCGTTCCCGTTTTCGTTCTCGTTCTCGTTCTCATTCTCATTCTCATTCTCATTCTCATTCTCATTCTCATTCTCATTCTCATTCTCATTCTCATTCTCATTCTCATTCTCATTCTCATTCTCATTCTCATTCTCATTCTCATTCTCATTCTCATTCTCATTCTCATTCTCATTCTCATTCTCATTCTCATTCTCATTCTCATTCTCATTCTCATTCTCATTCTCATTCTCATTCTCATTCTCATTCTCATTCTCATTCTCATTCTCATTCTCATTCTCATTCTCATTCTCGTTCTCGTTCTCGTTCTCGTTCTCGTTCTCGTTCTCGTTCTCGTTCTCGTTCTCGTTTTCGTTCTCGTTCTCGTTTTCGATCTCGATCTCGATCTCGTTCTCGTGTTCGTTCTCGTTATCGTTCCCGTTCTCGTTCCCGTTCCCGTTCCCGTTTTCGTTCTCGTTCTCGTTCTCATTCTCATTCTCATTCTCATTCTCATTCTCATTCTCATTCTCATTCTCATTCTCGTTCTCGTTCTCGTTCTCGTTCTCGTTCTCGTTCTCGTTCTCGTTCTCGTTCTCGTTCTCGTTCTCGTCCTCGTTCTCGTTCTCGTTCTCGTTCTCGTTCTCGATCTCGTTCTCGTTTTCGTTCTCGTTCTCGTTCTCGTTCTCGTTCTCGTTCTCGTTCTCGTTCTCGATCTCGTTCTCGTTCTCGTTCTCGTGTTCGTTCTTGTTATCGTTCCTGTTCTTGTTCCCGTTGTCGTTCTCGTTTTCGTTCTCATTCTCGTTCTCATTTTCACGTTGCGGTTAAACTTCCGTCAACAGATAAAGTTCCGTTTTAAGTTAAATTTAACTAACATCATCGCACATTGTCCAATGTCTAAATTAGAAGATCTTAAATAGATTGTTTTGTATGTATAATTAATAATCTTGAAATTAGGTCAATATTGATCATTGCATTTCTTATTAAAGTAAATGACACATTTTTACAAGCTTTTAATTAGTTCGCAACGTCTGTTTGTTTGTTTGTAGTTTGTGGGTTTGTGGCAAATATATTTCGACCCACTTCTAATGCAACAATTTTGTTCAAACTTTCTGGATACATTCCACTTCTATAAAAATGCAACTCTATGTTGTTTAAAATTTAATTAGGTGTTTAATTAGTCAATACAAATTAGTTAAACGGTTTCGAAACTGAGGGAAGATAAGAAAATTATATAACTCTATAGATTTCTTCATTCAACAACAGAAGGGGAGAAAACTAGGCAGACGAGATCACCCTATGAGTCTGCTGAGCTAGGGTTTACGTCGAATGTTTACAACCAAAGAGCCGGGTCGAGTGAATGCTATTAGTTGCAGATAGTAGAATTGTTAAACGATTTGAAACTAAAGGGAGAAAACAAGATCTACTTGATCTGGTTGCTGTCGTCTGTAAACTGTCGTCACGGACGGCTCATTTCACAGGTTATTGTGGAGGTGGGGGGGGGGGGGGGGGGGGGAAGAGAGAAAGTGGAGGCGAACGGATAATCGTCTTTCACGAGCTACTTATAGTATTTAAAAAAAAATATTTTAAGTTGCAGAAATTGTTGTGTCAAATGAATAGATTATGAAAAAAAAGAAGAAAAAAACTAAATATAAAATAAAACAAATATAAAAAACGTTATAATAGCAAACTTTTAAATATTCACTGAAAATAAATAAAAGAAATTTGCTTTCTTCCATAAACGTTTTGGTTGCTTAAATATGTCAAAGCTTTTATGAAAGAAAGCAAATTAGTTTTATTTTTTTATTGTCAGTGCATTTAAAAGCTTGCTATTTGAACTTTTTTTAAAATTTGTTCTTGTTTTCAAACAAGAGCCGAGGAATATAGGCCTATTACTCTTAATGAAACCGCAGTCAGAATAATTAAAACGCTATCACAATGCAATCTACATATTTTTAACGACTGATCCCCCCTAGAGTGATGAAGACAGACTTTTTCGACGATGTGTGACAGTTGGGGAGGAGAGGTCACGTAAAAGAAAAAGGCAAAATATAATGCGTCTGACCAAAATATTTATTCCTTACTAATGGTTTTCTCATTTGATGTAAACTATTCTTTTTCAAACGTTTCTAAATTATTTTAATTAATTAAATTTCTTTTTAATTGTGCTACCTTTACACAGTGAAAACATATTAACAATTTTGGTAACCAAGAAAAATGTTGAAATCATTTAAGTAACTTGTTTTTCCAGTTAGTTCTACGACTAAAAAAGACAACAATTAAAATACAAATCTATGTGCATATAATTCTAATACAAATCGTTTTCTCATTCATTTGCTACGTTTTGTTTCCAAAAATGTTTTAATTTAAATATCAAGTGTTTTTCTTTTCTCATTCATTTGCTACGTTTTGTTTCCAAAAATGTTTTAATTTAAATATCAAGTGTTTTTCTTAAAAACTAGCCTCTAAACAAAATATTTTTCTTTGCCGTTGGAGACACATATTTAAAATAATTTTTAGCTTTAACTTAATCAACCTCCACGAATTAAAAATTAGCCAAAAGAAACAGTTGTGAGCGACAAATGTTTTGTCTGTATCAATAATAATTACAACGTGGACACTAGTTCTAACATGTAAATTTTTTTAGTTAAATTTAAGACGTTTTTTATATTAATTTAAAAAAAAAACCACCTAGATTCAAACACAACTTGTCATTTTCAGGTCATGAACATCATAAATTGGCTACTTAATTTCTAATTAATTAAATTATTACAAAAAAATTCAAGAAAACAAAGAATATTCATTCAACAATGGCAAGTTGCAAATAAATACACATTTTTGCTATTTGTGTACACAAAAACAAAGTTTTATGTTATTATTTGAAAATGAAAAAACAAACCTGATGCTAACTAGATTATAAAAATACAATTATTTGAATTGGTACGTTGTTGATGCAATCAACTAAATAAAGCTAAAAGAACATTAGCTAAAATTTCAGCTGAGCCAAAAATAAAAGGACCAAATCGTTTTAGGATGTCTCTAAATTTTTCAAAAAATGATTTCTTCATTTTCTGATGCAGATTTTGTCGTGTACATTCTATTTCAATTGCTTGATGATTCAAACTATTTAAGACTTCTGGCGTTGCTTGCTTGCTACTTTTGCTTTTATACAGTTGTAAAAGAGCATTTACCAAATCTTTGGTGTCGTTTGCATTTGTTATAAAATCCACCAGTTTACCAGTTTCCCTATCTTTCTCTTTCAAGCTATTTATTAATTTTTCAAGTCTTGGCAGAATGTTTTCCAATGAATCAATCTTTTCACTTTGCTCTGGCAAAGTTTCAATAGCTTTTATTGCTTGCATTATCAAGCTTTGTTCTTTTAGGGTTTGTTTGGTTAGCATTGGTATCGATGTTGAAACAAGGAGATGCTGGTAAAACTTATCAGCTCTTTTAAAGTGTTCGTTTGTGTATCTGCGACCATCGTTTTCCAATTCATCAACCATTGCAATCAGCTGTTGAACTTGTCTGTTCTTCACATTCTCATCTTGCGTTAGGTTACTAAACACAACGATTCTGTTGTTACATTCCTCAAGGATACTTTTAAAGGGGCCTCTTTGATCAGCACAAAATGTTTTGAGGCTCAGCGTTTTATCTTTTCGACAGTTTTGTTCAAAAGTTTCCCCGTTTGCCATTACAATAATACCGTAGTCTTTAAGGAAGTTCTCGCCTAAAATTCCTTTCAGAATTTGAACCGTTTGCTGCTCCCCTATTGTGAAACGATTTCCAAACTTCAGTACAACAAGAAACGCATGATAGCCTTTTGGGTTCGCTAACATGGCGTTCTGTAGGGCGTTGTGTACCAGAGTTATTCCCCCTTCCTCATCCTCACACGTATCTAAAACACCAGGTGAGTCAATGACCTGTAAAATTCTGCCCTCAAATTCACTCCATTCAAACTGTGGTATTTTTGTTACAGAATCCATGTTGAAACTGGGCTCAAAAATATTCTCTCGTCTAAGGATAGAGTTACCCGTTGAACTTTTTCCATTCCCAGATTTACCAATAAGAATAATATCTAAATCAGTAGTGGAATTAATAGAAGCTCTAGCCATTTTTAGCCCTGAAAAATGAGACAAATATTTAATTTCTCTTTTTTCGAATGCTTTATAACTAGGCACTTATATATATATATATATATATATATATATATATATATATATATATATATATATATATATATATATATATATATATACTAGCGTACCCGTCCCCCGCGCGTTGCCGCGGGGATAGAAGTAAGTTTGACGAAATGTATTAGAAGGATTTCAGCAACGCGTTACCAATCATATGTTCTACGACGCGTCACCGTCTTTTCTAAAAGTGAGTTATTTAAATGTAAACAATGCCTGCGCTTTGATCATAAATATCGGGACACGGGTTTACCTACACTACCGCATGAAAACATTGAATGTACATTAATCACTCACCGAAATAATACGGTAGAACACACTTCGGTGACCACCCATGTGTCAGAGACGTAGAGGGGCGCTCTCATGGGCCCCACCCCCCGATTACACTACCGCATAGGCGCGGCGTACGAGCCCTGGCTCCTTAAAACTAACAGGCGCCATCGTGCCAAATAGCATCCTGTTAATAATGATGCTGATTTCGTCATTCGCTAAAGTGACACAAATGAACAGGATTTTTTTCTTTAACACTTAAAAAAAGTATTTGACGTGTTTTAAACATCAGTGTGACAGATGCAATATGCTAGCGTTACTAATGGTCTATTATTAGATGCTCGATCTCAATTTCTGACTGGATTGTCTAATAATAGATGCTTATTGCATCATTCGAAAAGTGACGAAACTCTACAGTAGGCTCCACATATTCAAAAAGTTATTTTTTCATCTTTGGCAAGGTGACGCAACTGTACAGAAGGATTTCCTCGCTTTACAAAGTTATTTTTAGAAGCCTGTTGTAGTTTTACCGCTAAATATAGTAGTACCCTTTACTCGCTATGCAGGACGCTCGATTAACGGATGCCAAGTGCCAACATCGTCGCTCTAAAACTCTGGGCTCCAAACCGTGTATTGACGAAAGTTGTACCCTATATGGCGCCGCCCATAAGAAACTTTAGTTTTCTTTTTCGCAGAGAAAAATTCTCGGGAGTATTCTCATCTACTCCCTAAAGTTTCATGGCACTCGGATGAACCGCATCCGAGTTTTATTTTTTATATATCGTGTATAGAGAAAAAAAATCGCTTCACCCCCACCACGGGGGGGGGGGGGGGTGGGGGTGGGCGCCGCCCTTGCAATAATAAACAATTTTTTTGTTGTTGCAGAACCCTACCATTGAGTAATATTATCATCTCCCCAAAGTTTCATGGTACACGGATGAACGGTGTGAAACCGGAATAGACTTTTATTTTATAAACCGTATATAGAGAAAAATCGCAGCCTCCCGTGGCACCGCCCTTGCGAAATTAAAAAAGGATTTTTTTTTTTACAGAACCCTTCCCTGAAATGTTCTAATCAACTCCCACAAAGTCTCATGGCTATCGGATGAACGATGCCAAACCAAAATCGACTTTTATTTTTATATACGGTATATAGAGAAAAATCGCACCCTCCTGTGGCGCCGCCCTTGCGAAAATAAAAATGATTTTTTTACAGAACCCTTCCCTGGGGTGTTCTAATCAACTTCCCAAAGTTTGATGGCGATCGGATGAAAGGTGTAAAACCGGAATAGACTTTTATTTTTATATACCGTATATTGAGAACAATCGGACCCTCCCGTGGCGCCGCCCTTGCGAAATTAAAAATTAGTTTTTTTACAGAACCCTTCCCTTGAGTGGTATAATGAACTCCCCAACGTCTCATGGCTATCAGATGAACGATGCCAAACCAAAATCGACTTTTATTTTTATATACAGTATATATAGAAAAACAAATCGCGCCCTGCCGGGGCGCCACCCCTGCGAATTTGAAAATTTTTTTTTGCAGAAACCTCCCCAGGAATATTCTCAACAACTTCCCAAAGTTTCACGGCGATGTGATGAGAGGTGTAGTAATGCATAAAGGACAGACACACAGACATACATTGCTTTTTATATATATAGAAGATATATTTATATATATACTAGCGTACCCGACCCCCGCGCGTTGCCGCGGGGATAGAAGAAAGTTTGACGAAATATATTAGAATGATTTCACCAACGCGTTTCCAATCATATGTTCTTAGACGCGTGACCTTCTTTTCTAAAAATGAGTTATTTAAATGTAAACAATGCCTGCGCTTGGATCATAAATATCAGGACACGCGTTTACCTACACTACCGCCTGAAAACATTGAGTGTACATTAATCACTCACCGAAATAATACGGTAGAACACACTTCGGTGACCGCCTCTGTGTCAGAGACGTAGAGGGGTGCTCTCAGGGCCCCACCCCCCGATTACACTACCGCATAGGCGCGGTGTACGACACTTGGCTCCTTAAAACTATCAGGCTCCATCGGCCTAATAGCATCCTGTTAATACTGATGCAGATTTCGTCATTCGCTAAAGTGAAACAAATGAACAGGATTTTTTTCTTTAACACGTAAAAAAATTATTTGACGTGTTTTAAATATCAGTGTGACTGATGCAATATGCTAGCGTTACTAATAGTCTATTATTAGATGCTCGATCTAAATTTCTGACTGGATTGTCTAATAGTAGATGCTTATTGCATCATTCGCAAATTGACGAAACTCTACAGTAGGCTCCTCATATTCAAAAAGTAATTTTTTCATCTTTGGCAAGATGACGAAACTGTACAGAAGGATTTCCTCGCGTTACAAAGTTATTTTTAGAAGACTGTTGTAGTTTTACCACTGAGTATAGTAGTACCCCTTACTCGCTATGCAGGACACTCGATTAACGGGTGCCAAGTGCCAACATAGTCGCTCTAAAACTCTGGGCGCCAAACCGTGTATTGACGAAAGTTGTACCCTATATGGCGCCGCCCATAAGAAACGTTAGTTTTCTTTTTCGCAGAGAAAAATTCTCGGGAGTATTCTCATCTACTTCCTAAAGTTTCATGGCACTCGGATGAACCGCATCCGAGTTTTATTTTTTATATACCGTGTATAGAGAAAAAAAATCGCTCCCTCTGGGGGCGCCGCCCTTGCAATAATAAACAATATTTTTTTGCAGAACCCTACCATTGAGTGATCTAATCATCTCCCCAAAGTTTTATGGTACACGGATGAACGATGTGAAACCGAAATAGACTTTTATTTTTATAAACCGTATATAGAGAAAAATTGCAGCCTCCCGTGGCGCCGCCCTTGCGAAATTAAAAAAGGATTTTTTTTTTACAGAACCCTTCCCTGAATTGTTCTAATCAACTCCCCCAGAGTCTCATGGCTTTCGGATAACGGTGTCACACCAAAATCGACTATTTTTTAAAATATACCGTATATAGAGAAAAATCGCACCCTCCCGTGGCGCCGCCCTTGCGAAATTAAAAATGATTTTTTACAGAACCCTTCCCTAGAGTTTTATGATGAACTCCCCAAAGTTTCATGCCTATCGGATGAACGGTGTCACTGAAATTCACATTTATTATTTTTATATACCGTATATAGAGAAAAATCGGACCCTCCCGTGGCGCCGCCCTTGCGAAATTAAAAATTATTTTTTTACAGAAACCTTCCCTAGAGTAGTATAAGGAACTCCCCAAAGTTTCATGCCTATCGGATGAACGGTGTCACTGCAATTCACTTTTATTATTTTTATATACCGTATATAGAGAAAAATCGGACCCTCCCGTGGCGCCGACTTTGCGTAATTAAAAATTATTTTTTTACAGAACCCTTCCCTAGAGTGGTATAATGACCTCCCCAAAGTCTCATGGCTATCGGATGAACGATGCCAAACCAAAATCGACTTTTATTTTTATATACGGTATATTGAGAAAAACAAATCGCGCCCTGCCGGGGCGCCACCCCTGCGAATTTGAAATTTTTTTTTTCGCAGAAACCTCCCCAGGAATATTCTCAACAACTTTCCAAAGTTTCACGGCGATGTGATGAGAGGTGTAGTAATGCATAAAGGACAGACAAACAAACAAACTCACACACACACATTGCTTTTTATATATATAGATAAATATAAATAATATATATATATATATATATATATATATATATATATATATATATATATATATATATATATATATATGTATATATATAATTTTTCTTTCTTTTTAAATTTAAAATATATAAAATAATAAAAGGAATGTAAAACATCTTATGAACGATTAAGGCCTTTATGAAAGGAAGCAGATAATAATTTACTTATTTTTGGTGCATTTAAAAGCTTGTTGCTATAAAGGTTTCTTATATTTGTTTTATTTTCTACTTTTTAGTGATTCTTAATTTATGAGGTCGACATGACAAAAAATATTTGCCTTAAAACACCATCAGTAGCTCGCGATGACTGAAAGACGACGATCTGCCCTGTGAAAGCCGTCCGTGATCACAGTTGACAGACAAAAGGAAGCTGATCAACCGAGGAAAGTTCTCAATCTTGTTACCTCCTATTAGTTTCAACTCGTCGTAAAAACTCTATTATCTGATTATCTGCTGCTAATAGCCTTCACTAGCTCGACACGGCTCTGCGATTGTAAATATTCGATGTAAACCACAACTCAGCATACTGGTCGGGTGATCTCCCCTTCTGTTATTGAATATAGCAATCTATCGAGTGATTTAATTGTTTTTATCTCCCATTAGTTTCGAAACAGTTTTATTAGATAGATTTGTATTGTCATTGAAGTGAAACGTATCTGGAAATTTGAATGAAATAGCTGCATTAGAAGGGGGTCGAAACAGAGGTACAATATTTGCCACAAACCCACAAACAAACAAACAAACAAACTAAACAAAAAGCTTGTAAAAATTGAACCCCTCATGACCTATTTTTAGCTACGCCACTGAGCGTAGCGACTCATACTTTTCTTACCAGTTATATACAAAGTGGTGCTTTATGATACTTAAAGAAAATAATTTTCTTTTTTTTTTTCTTTTGAGTGCGATAAAAGTTTGTTACTATACATGTTTT